TGCCTTTGAGATATTTCAGATTGCATTTTGATCATATTATGTTGCTTTAGTAAATTAAAGGAATCGGAAGCAAAAAATAGGGAACTGTTGGAAGAGATGGAAGGTTTGAAGAAAAAACTGGAAGAAAAATACAGAACAGATTCAGGTAATTAAAGTTACTGTGTTTTAACAGAGTTCTAACACCACCTGTGATGCTGCCTTTTAGCTAAGCCTGCTCTGCTTTGGGTTTTAGGTCTCAAACTTCCAGACTTTCAAGATTCCATTTTTGAATATTTCAACACCTCTCCTCTTGCACGTGATCTGACTTTCAGAGTGAGTTATTACATAAAATAGCTATTAAAATTTGATAGCTGGATTATATCTTTATTACGTAAAAGTAATGCTTGGGCACTGTTTGGGTCTGGCATATTGGCCACGTTAGTGTGACGCACAGTTGGATGTCCAGTGCATGTCAGATTGCTTGGCATTTTGTAGGGAAGCTGGCACCTTTGGGAAATACTCCCGGAAGTTCACATTAATTATTTCCCATTCTACCTTCCTTGTTTAGTTTAATTTCAAATGTTGGGCTGAATAATATACATTCAGGGTTTTTTGGAGAGACTGGCACAACCTGTTACAAAAAAAAAGTACTCACACAGTTCAAGGAGTGTTCAATCAGATATGTAAAACTGTTGGCTCCAGATCTTAATGGAGTGGTTAGAGTAGAAGGAACTGGGAAGAGAATCAGAGGACCCACAGATGTTGGTATGAGAAGTTTATTGTGACACACCCTCTGATCCTTAGAAAACTAATCATACAAATCACAGCTCCAAGTGGGCGTTTCAGTTAAAAAGGTTTGTGCATTCCCTGAGGAAGCAGCTGTTAAATGCAACATTGAATCACATTTCCTTATTTCATGAACTCTTGATCCCTCAAGATTTTCTGGGATGGTTTTTCTGCAAAACACTTAGACAGTTTAGCATAAAACCAAGAGCTGGAACTGGAAGGAATAATCTGTTATATTTATGGAGCTGAGTTAAAGGGGCTTAGGTTAAAACCTAATTGGTCTTGTTAAATTTTTTTATCCGAAATGCATATTCTCTCTTTTTTTGTTGTTTTTAAAATAGTTGTCGCTATTGACAATAAGTCACTGTTGTCAAAAAGAAAGCCTATGGACATGCTGTGATATTTGCATATTTATATTTTGTGTATGTGCTCCTCTCTGTCACAAGATGTCCACAGTGACTTTCTTGATAAAGTTGGCAAGGTGCACTACATGGATGAGGTGGAGGGAAGAGAGAGAATCTCTCTCTCAGATATGTGCTGCTATCTGGATAACAGTTTTTGTCTGCTGACCTTGATATTTTAAAACGTTGCATTAAAAAGTAACAGATACAGTTAAAACAGTAAAATGTAGACTATCAAGCCCGTAACTAGTCAAGATTCCATTCTACAGATCCTGCAATGAATATACAGTCACTACAGAAATGCAGATGGCATTTTCTGATGAATTACGTTAAAATTGCTGATGACTTCCATTAACAATTTTTTTTTACGTGTACTTATAAAGATAGTCCATGTCATCTGCTCTGGGTTAATTTAGTTTGAATAAATATCATTTGTCCATATAAAACATTTTATTTAGCTAGCCTACTGATACTCTATCTGAAGTTTTCCTGTGGGTGATAAGTGATCGTTTTTATCCCTCATATCTGTTACAACAAAGGATTCTGTTTCTTCTTCATCTACATCTTCTCTACTAGCCTTTTGGGAAGAAGTAAGTTTTTGCTAGTAGTCTTGTCTCCTTATTTTGTTGTGACCTGTCATAGTAAAAACAGCCTCCTAAAACTAGACATTTGCTTCCTTAACTTCTCTCTAATTTAATCCACTAAATAGAGCTAGTTTAGTTCTCTTTTAATACCTCTTTACAGGCTTACTATTTTATATTTTGACTGTCTGTATGGCTAAAGCTGAATCATGCTAGCATTTTTAAATAGTTCATATTACCTAATGGTACAATTTGATCTTCAGTGGCCCAGCCCTACCAATCAATTCATAACAACAACAACAAAAAAGTAACAAATATCTGAACATACTTAGTGAGCTAACTGAACTTGAGCCATCTCCCTGTCTAAACTGGCTGGGAAGTGAGTGATTCATTACTTGTTGCCTTTAGTGCCAATTACATCATTTATGTGAAGTCTAATCTGATGTTTGTTAATCATTACTTTCATGATGTCCTCAGAGTACAGTAATACAGTATCCTCCTTCCACACCCAGCTTCTTTAGTTCTGGAACTGTAGCATACTTCCCCCTTGTGCTGCAATTAGTATTTGCTAATGTAAGTGTGAAATTAATAGAAGGCTTGTAATGGATGCTAGTCTTAAATTTTAGTGAAATCTAAAACAACGTGATTAAGTAGATGTGATTCAGAGATGTTAATAAAATAGCCAACCATTTTTAAACAACTTTTTAATTTTTAAAATAATGGGTAGTACTTCTTTGAGAATTTTTCTTATGGCGGAATTGGTGGCTGCTGTGTTCTAGAAAAATGCTAGTGTAGTAAGCCACCATGAGAGATAAGCTATTTTATGAATGATTGCCAAGCTTTTCAAACATCATTTCATACCTGCATGCAAGAGATTAGACACAGCCTTGCTGGGAAAAGAAGGCTGTTACAGCATTTATGCTGCCTACTACAAGGTACTGCATTTTAGTGCTTCTAGCTTTACAGCTTTTCTATCAAGTGGCAGGGTTTGTTTTGAGGGAATATTTTTTTCAGAGTGGAAAGTTATTAGATGTGTGTGTACTGCATGAAGAAATCAGCATTGGTTTTTGTTTATTTCTACCATGAGTTGTTAATTGTAGACACCTTGAAATTCTATTTCGTTGATGTGAGAACACTTTGCCAGATCTGTGGTATCTAAACTAAGATGTTTGCTGTCACTTTTGCAGACCAGTTCTATTAGCGAGCAGGAAACACAGGGTCCCAAGTCAGAAGTTTCACCATCTACTTCAGCTGTAACTGCAGACCAACAACAAGAAGTAAGGGAGCTGTTGTTTTACCCTGAAGAGTAATTCACTAGAAAGTCTCTCTGTCTTGTTCATGATAAATATATATTGCAGCATTCATTATGGAGAAGCAGGATTTAATGTTGCTTATTTGCAATGTGTCAGTGTTAATTGCACCTGCTTTGAGGACAGTTGCAAATGAAACCTTTTTGCTGGCTCTGTGTATGTTGATGTACCTCATTTTCATATGTTTTCTGTATTGCTGCTTGTTTGTTAGTGTGCAGGCTTTCCTGTGAGTGCTTTAAAACACAATCTGTTTCTGTTAAATCAGAATGGTGATGTTTATGACAATTAAATTTTTCATAATTTTCAAAAAAGCAAAAAATCAGAAAACAATAAGCTTTGCGACCCCGATCTTGAAACAAATTCTTGAAGCCTCATTTTGCTCAATTACAGTTTTTTGTGATTCAGGAACCAATTCGGCTTCAGAGGATGCCTGCTGCTCCTTCCCCCACCATTCAATCCATTTCTCTAGCTGTACCAAAGGTAGGGGGACTGTGCTAACCTTATTCTAAAGAACAAAGAAAAAAAATATCAGTTATAAATTAGCCCTTTGTGTTTGTTCTTGTCTTGTTTGGGTTTGTCCTATGTGTGTTTGTTAGGTCTGTGTTTTTAATCAAATGTTTCCAAGTGCAAGCTGGTGGGTTTTGATTTGTCAGAAAGGATGACAAAAGAAGTTGGTTGTAGGTTTGGGTTTGAGTATCTATGCAGTTGGAAATAAAACTGTTATTGTTGCCTTGCAGCACCTTTTACAAGCTGCACTTACTTAAAAGAAGGCCGGTTTCACAATGTACACTGATATACTGGAGGGTGGTGAAGGGCAATGCTCTCATTGCATGAGTACAGAAAGTAAAAACTTATTTTTTTTGTCCTGAATGTATCTTTCAGCCTAAAGCTCACCAGCTCAATATCAAGTCATTCACAAGCCCTACTCAGTGTAGTCATTGCACTTCTCTTATGGTGGGATTAGTTCGACAAGGTTATGCCTGTGACGGTGAGTCAGTTAAACTTTTTATATTTTCAGCAAGTCCCTGAAAAAATCATCCCAAAACACTAATGTATTTTAAGGCAACTATATCTTTGGGGAGGGAATCAAAAAGAGGGGTGGCTGCCACTGGATGATTCTCCTTTCTTTTGCATCATCATCAGACTTCTAAAGTCAAGGTAATATAAGCCCTCATGGTTCCCTTTCATAGTACTAATTAGTTCCGCTACCATTAGTGGCGTTATAGTGTGAGTTGTGAGGGGAGGTGGGGAAGGCAAGACTGTTTTCTGTTTCTGTAGTAGAGAGGGAGTGCTGTGGTAACATGAATTTGGCTCTGTTTTGTGCTATCCTTCCTGATCGTAAACCCTGTATGTTAGGAGGACTGTTTGCTAGGTTTTTTGGACTGTAGCCTGTCTTGCTGTCTATTAGTTTTATTTAAAATGCTTTCTCTGATGCATATGTAACTATTGAGTTCCATGTTTTGAGTATATGGAGGTTTTTTTATTTGAAAATACTTCTTTGTATCTTCATTAGACACATGAACTCAGTAAGTAGTCCACAAATCCATTGAAGGCACTACAGTATAAATAACCTTATTGTATTTCTGTGCCCAGCTTAGTTTTTGCTATTGAAATGTCTCCACTGACAGCTTCAGTGTCATATTCAGATTGCCTCATCTGCCCTTCAGGGCTTTTCTCCTGACAGATCTTCTGGTGGCAGATCATCCCCAGGAGCACCTATTGCTCTGCCAACACTTGCCCTGGGGGCTGCCTTTTGTCTCCTGTTGCTGACATTTCTGAACCCTGGTTTTGCATCTCTTCCTGCAAGTTTGAAACAGTCTTTTTCCCTTAGTGTAGCTGTCAGCTTCATTCTTTATTTTTTTTTCTCGTGTGTTTTGATTAAGGTCTACATCATTAGTTTTCCAGTTTGCTGCCTCTTCTCCAGATCTTGATAGCTACAGAAAAAAACTAGAATCACATTGACATAAGAATAGAGATGACTCCAGTAGAACAAAACTCCCAATCACTTGTTCCACTCCCAATCACTTGCTTTTCCCAATTCCTTCTCTTTTTAATGCTGGAGACTACGGTAAAATACAGCTGCACTTCCAGAGGCCTGTAGAACTGGATATATCCCGTGGATTTTCCCTGTTCTGCAACTGGTGTGCCTTGATATGCACTATCCCAAATAATTATGATGCCTCCTGAAAGAGCTGCATTTATTGTCTGGTCTTGGGGAGCACCTCCAGTACTTTGCATGCATGACTTTTTGGTAACCCCTGTCCTCCTGGGAGCAAAGTGCAGCTGAAAGAACGAGCCAGGCAGCCTGCCCTGGGCTGCCCTCTGCCCTGGCTGTTCCCTCTGGCATCGTGAGGAGGAGGTTTGTAGCCTAGTCTGTGGCTGTAGCAGAAGCAGGCTCTTTCCAGGTTTTCTAGAATGCTTTGACCCTTAGTAATTATGAGACTAGATGTGCATTTCTTAGAATATGGTTAGGAGGAAGCACAGGAGAGATCCTAGGGCCATGGCACTCTCCCACTGCCCTCCCAAGCCTACTGGTAGAAACAGGGTACCTGGGACAAACCAGCCCATAAACAGTGGGTCAGATGCCTCGATATAACATGTTAGTTCATTCTGCAGTTCTCATAGTCTGTCTCATGTGAAGTGGCATATATTCTGAGTTTTTTCTGTGTAGTGCTTCTGTGTAAAGTGCTGTATATACAAGAGACTAGAGACTTCTGTCCCTTCCTGGTGCAGCACAAAGCGGTACAAAGTGGTGTAAATGGTAAGAAAGGATGCCATAATTAGTATAGATGTTTGCTCCTTATTTGAACTCTGAGCATTTCAGTCCCTGTCCCATGATTTCTGCTTTATTATGCTTTCAAGTCTATTGCCTGTGTTTAATAGCTTAACCCTTTCTAATTTTTTGGGCCAGTTTAGTTTTACTTTGTCTTTGCAGTATTCTTGCATTCTTGGATCAAATTAAACACCTAATATATTTATCTTGTCTCCTATTATTGCCCCATAATTTTTATTCCTCCTTTATTAATACTTTTTCTCTTCTTTGACTGGTTGAGTTGCTGCTTAACACCAGTGAGGCTGACCAACTCCTTTTCCTTCTGGAAAATGCTTTCCTAGGTTGCCTTGAAATGTGGACTCAGTTCCTGCCCTTTATGGAAGTACTAGGCTTAAAAGAGAAAATAAAAGCAGTTTGGAGAGTCTCATACAGTATCTAGGTGTGTTCACTCCTTTGGCGTAGTGGGCTACTGCGATATTTTACTGCCAGTTTCCATGTCATTGATTAATTTGCTGAGCATAAGGGTAGATTACACTAATCTCCTGTTATGATTGACTCATACATGCATTTCACTGTGAATTTTCTCTTTTGTACTTAGTGTGTTCATTTGCATGCCATGTTTCCTGCAAGGATAGTGCACCTCAGGTCTGCCCCATACCCCCTGAGCAAGCCAAAAGGCCTCTTGGAGTAGATGTGCAAAGAGGAATAGGAACTGCCTATAAAGGTTACGTCAAGGTAACAGTCTTTTGTTCTTGGACAAGAGAAGAATACTAAACTTCACCTACAGCTGTGCTGCTAGGAACCTCTAAGTATGTTTAAACAAATCTAAATTGTGCTAAACTCTTAAGGCTTCATATGCCGTTTGTGTAACTGATTTAGCCTTTGTTGCTTTAGATGTGGGAGAAATGGTTGGTTTTACTACAAGATCTAAAGGTTAGTAGATTAGTAGCTACAATGTTTATAAGCAGCAGAGGGGAAATCATGCTTTAAGGAAGAATTTCTGTCATTGTTGATGTAAGCATAATATAAAAGGTAAATTGTCCTACCGTTTTGGCATTTGTGGAATATACAAGCCCCATTTTTTGTCATAATACTACCTAATGTATTTATTAAACTGTAACAGGGAATGGTTGAACTTGAGGGAGGAAAAATGATTGCTTGATTACTTGACATTTTTCACTCCGTTTTGAAGGGCAAGTAGAACGTGTTCTAATTCCGTTGATTTAAGTATAAGCTTTTCTAAATGTCTCTGCCTTCTGTGTCTACTACATGTGCTTACATTTAATAAGCAATCAGTTATTTATTTGCAGGTCCCAAAGCCTACAGGAGTTAAGAAAGGGTGGCAGAGGGCTTATGCAGTTGTCTGTGACTGTAAACTCTTCTTATATGATGTGCCTGAAGGAAAATCCACCCAACCTGGAGTTGTTGCAAGTCAAGTCTTGGATCTCAGGTTAGTATTATTATGAGTAGAAATCCTCTGTATTGTTTCCCTAACAGGAGTATTTATTTATAGTACACAAGAAACTTTAAGATGATGAGAGCTCTGATGTGAGAAGACCTGTGTGTTCTGTATATAGACTGCAGCTAAGTTTAGGCTAAACAAGTTGGCTCAGCAACAAATCACTTAAGTGACTTTCTAGTCACTTATACTACAATCACTAATATTTACAGTTTTAGCATGCTGCTTCCTAGAATTCCATATGTACACGTGGAAAACAAATAGACTTTGGTAGATTGGGTTTTCCCCTGCACTCTGACCTCAGCATTGAGTCAAAGTTCATCCCATAGCACGTAATTTCAGGAACATTAAAGAAACTGAAGTAATCTTCAGAAAAGCACCAACTAATTTACAGCTCTGACCTTGCCTTCTCACAGGAATCATTGTTCGTGGTGAACTATTTAAAACACTGAACACTGTCTGCAAGAGATCTGAGACATACATTGATCAGAGTAACCAAGAAGGTTTTTTGTTTCAATTTATGGAAATATCAAGAAAGTGTAATACCTTCTAATGTTACAGCACCTTCTGTCTCTGTTGAATATAAAGTTTGCATTCACAAGCACCTTGATTTATATTTTTTCCAGACAGTAGTACCGTGGGGTTGCAGCAGTATTGTTGTTCTGTTCTCACATTTATTCTCTGAGAACCGTCAGCTCTCTCTGACATGCTGGCAGCGGGAGCAGAAGCGTGGAAGTATTGCAAATAACAGCATTCACATCAGTACATTGCTTGAAGCAACTCAGACAGATATTAAACCAACTGTCCCATGCTTTATCTACTTATTGTAGCTGCGTCTTTGAGTCTGTCTTCTGAGGATTCTTAGATGTTTTAATAGATGTGAACCACCATAGCTATGAATTCTAGCATGGGCAAGTTTCAGGCATTAGTGTCATCTTTACACTAAAATTGGCAATTATGGTGATCAACTTGGTCAAATTCAGTTTTAAAAGGCTTGTGTAGACAAGCCCTCTGGGGTGGAGCATGCTGATATGCGAAAGTTGTTCTGATGTCTGTTTATTTTACTGTAAGAGAGAATAAAATGTAGCTATTTTGAAAACCCTTATTTGAATCCCACAAACCATAATTATGTTGCCAAGAGCTTTTTATGTGATTTTTCTTTCCTTTCCAAAGGCCCCTCTCTTGCTACACATTGAGGTATGAATTATTAATTTCTAATGTGTCTGCTGGGCTGGAAGAGCAATATTCTTGCTGCTAATTGTAGAATGGGTGTGGTCAGTAAACCAAAACTACCCAAAGCCACCCCATTTAACTTCAGGTGGACTGAGTTACACGTACTGAATGCTGTAGAAACATAACTAAAGCTTGTGAGTTGTTTGGGTCAAGGATGGTTAGAGCATAACAAAGCAGTGATGGCAGTTGTGACCTCTGTGTGGTGTTAGGAGATTGCGGCCTATTGAAACAATTGTGATGTCAATTAGATTTTACTGAATAATGTTAGTATGTGCATGCATGTGATTCTCTTGCTCTGTTTCTTCCTAGAGATGAAGATTTTTGTGTGAGCTCTGTTCTAGCATCGGATGTAATACACGCAACTCGTAAAGACATCCCGTGTATATTCAGGGTATGGCTACCAATTTACTCTTAAAGAAAATACAAGATAAATACTAGTGCTTTGTTTTGATAGTGAAGTACATTATCCATATTTAATGTTTCCTGAGTTATGCAGTAGTATAAGAATTTACAAGGGGTGCTGAAATGTGTAGAAGAACAATATGATACTCCTGTCATAACTGAACTGTAGAGAACGAAGTTCTCCTTTTGCTGCTTCCTTGTATATAAAGTTTGGCTTTTTAAATTTTCTTGATTATTCAGTATATTTTTATCTCCTCCTCCACTGGTATTACCAGACCCTACTTTTTCTATCTTACTTTGGAGGACTTGCTTTAGGAAGTGATGCTGTAACAGAGTAAGCTGAAGCTGGGTTGTGCACACTGATTCTAATTTGTCACATACTATCTTGTATTTTAAAAAAAATTGAAATTTCAGTTTCTTTAATTTCCTATTTAAGTATAGTAGAAAAAAATTAACATCAGAGAAAATAATTAGCTTAGTTATAATATCCTCTTTGATGTATGTGCTATCTGAATGCTGTATTTATTTTTTAACAACAGGAACGTCTTTCCTAGGTTTTATGTGAATTGTATTTAATCTGAAATCTTAAAATATAGAGAAGAGTATGTTTGTAGCTAGTATCTATAATCTTTTGCATTTGAATACCGAAATTCACTGTTTTCAGCATCTCTGATCCTCAGTCATTTAGAATCAAGTCAGTGGAACATGGAAGCCAGGGAACTGACAGTCACATGCAGTCCAAGTCATTTGGTCCTTGAGGGTTTTACTTAGGAAATGTCTTGGCTGCTTGAATGCTTCTGTGTCTTTGCTTTTCTGCTTTTTTGTAGAAATATTTTCTGCAGTGGATTTTCATCCTTTAGTTTACTATTACTTTGACTTTTATTTTCCTCTCAGTTGTTTCTAAATTTTTTTTTGTTCCCATCTGCCTGCTCTCTTCTCAAATTAGCAAATGTGGAATACTGTGGGAAAAGGACTTCTGAGGAGAGAAAATGAGCTATGCAGAATGGTGGTTGATTCGTTTAAGAGCAAAGCGTCCATACAGTTTAGCCTGCCTCACTTGCTGCTCTAATTTCTGTTTGCAGTTTTTAACTGAAAGAGCATCTAAGAAAAAAAATCTTTTGTCAAATATCCCCATATAAGAGTACTTGTGTGGATAGACATGACAAAATGTCTCCACAGTTTGATCAGATTATCCCCTACTGAAGAGATCTGATGGATTAACTGGAAGCCTGGTGTGTGAGTATATCCATTTAGATACCCTCTTGACAGGGACCAGAGAAGATGCTGTGAAAGTCCACCTCTTTTCTCAGTTTTAAGTCCTCCTTCAAAAGAAGGAATTTCTAAAACTGGAAACCAGTAACATCTGATGCAAGAGTCTATATTCTCAATTTAATTTAATTCTAGATTTGCATCATGCTGACATAATGACATAGAGTGGCTTCTACACAACAGTTAAAATGTTACTTTTCATCATCTGTGTAAAAATGTGGTCCTTCCTTTATATGTGTTATTTCACGTAACACGTGGTGATGTTGGTGACCCGTGAAAGACAGATTTTCATTTATTTTGGATCTTCCACCAGCAGAAAGCAATACCAGAATCCTGCCAAACACTAAAATATTGCCACCTCTGACCCCCTATGAAATCAAGAAGAGGAAGAACTTCTCTCAGACTCCAACATCTCTCCTTGGTAACCAGTTTTTAAAGCTGGATGTTAGGCCGTCCTGGCATCCAAACACTGCAGTCTAAAATGCTGCCATCAATTCATTTTTAATAACAGTATAAGAGTGTCTGTAGTGGAGTCCTTCCACAGCTTAGCAGTTTGAGTGAAGCAGCCTTGAGTTTGTAGCAAGCACTGGATTTTTGTATGATGAATAATGCTGGGTATATTACAATCAACTTCTCCCATTTTTTTCTGTATTTGACTGCATATAAGATGCCACCTTGAAAAGACTGAGGTGTAATATGTGGTGGTACTTCAAAGGGAAAACCATAGCTGAAGTCTGGTTTGGTTTTATTTTGTTTTCAAATTTAGAAATATTATCCATCATGCCTCCATCCATCTTTAAAATATTAATGCTTAGTTACAGTTCAGACATGAACAAAGCTTGATGCAGAGTAATAAGAGCTATGAGCAATTGCAAACTACTCAGTTCTTTTCCTACTACTCTTTGCTTTCATCTTACTTCAGGAGTTCTGTCTTTGCCATCCTGTTGTCCCAAATTTACTTTCAGGTGTATTTTATCTTTAAGATGAATGCTGTTGCTTAATTCACTTTTTCAGGAAGTGTATGTTGCATAACCACATCATCCATCTTTAGGTGATTTTCTTATCAAGGCATATAGACTGAAGGTGTGTTATTGCTTGTATGAGTAATTACAGCCTTCAGTTTTGCACTCTTGCACCTTTTGCTGCTTTTTTTCTGTTTAACTATTGTTATTGTAAAAGTGTGTTGTGAGGGCCAATACTGGCTGATGGCCTCTCTGTCTGTGACTGAAAGCGTAGTTCCCATGATCTCGCAAACCCTTTGATCTCTCCAGACAGGATGCTAAACTAACATTAAGAATTAGTAAATGCATACTTTGGGCGACAGAAAGTTCCTGGATAGTTTTTCTGTTCAGAATACATCCGCTTTGAGATCTAGAGGACAATTTACCTGAAAATTAAGTGAAGCCATAGTGATTTTCTTTTCACATGGGGAAGTGGGGGAATGCACTACTTCTGTCTCAAAACATTGCTTTCCTCCAGAGCTTTTAATGCCAATATGATGTGCTCTTCCCTCTGGACAAATATTTGAAAATAAAGTATCAAAATAAAAATCTAGAGCTTATCATAGCAGTGCCTTTGGGTTTAAATGCATCTGACTCTGAAAGCATTTGTGTCATTTTCAGTAAGTTATTAAAAGATGGTGAAGGGGAGGGACCAGGACAAATTACGGCATGCTACTGAAATTCCAGTTCAGAGCAGGGAGGAGCCTTTTACTGCCATGTATTGATTATTGTAGAAAAGGAATGTAGCATTCCTTGCCCATATTGTAAGATTCAGACTGATTAAGTAAGACTGAGTATTTCTAAATAAAACCACTGCAGCTTATGTTGGTTTTTTTTGAAGCACTGTGGTCATACTAGCTGTGTGCCGTGCTGCGTACCCCTCAGGTACATCAGCACAGTGCTATGAAAAAGTGTATTTTACTGTCACAGTTCTGTGAAGTATATGATACTGACAAAAAGGACTTGTATAACTCTTATTAATTTGGCTTTCTCTGTCTGTTAAAAGGTGACAGCTTCTCTCTTAGGTTTGCCTTCAAAGTCTTGTTCTCTACTGATTCTGACGGAAAATGAGAATGAGAAGAGGAAGTGGGTTGGAATCCTAGAAGGGTTGCAGTCTATCCTGCACAAAAACAGACTGAAAAACCAGGTTGTGCATATTCCACAAGAAGCCTATGACAGTACACTGCCTCTTATTAAAGCAAGTTTAGCTGCTGCTATTGTAGGTATGTTTGTTTTAACTTTTATAAGTGCGTGAGAGTTGTTGGAGCTTTTAGATGGGCTCCTGTAATGAGAGCACTGATACCTTGAAATAAATTCCTCAGCTGAATTCCTTCATAGGAATTTAATAATGGGGGGAAATGCTAATCTTGCATTGATATTCAATTTTCTTCATTCACACAGAGTAAATAATACTGCTTAGTAGTTTAACAAGTTGTTTTAGCAATACGGTATATAGTGTGCTTTCAACAGACTGCATAAATGTAAGCAAAATGGATTTGCATTTGAAAATCTATTTGTCCAGAAATTTTTCTAGCTGTTCAAAGCAAACAGCCTGTTTTAAAGATAAGATTAAGCACAGCTGAATTAATAGCTTTTTTTTTTTCTTCCTGGTTTAGATCGAGATAGAATAGCAATTGGTTCAGAAGAAGGACTGTATGTGATAGAGGTGACCCGTGACGGTAAGTTAGACCGCAATGCATGCAGTAATTACATACGGAATAATGAGCTCCATAACTTTTAGTGCTGTTATAATATAGGTTATGCAACAACCCTTCATGTACAGTAAGTAAGTTAATTGATGAGAAGGACAAGTGAATGTGAGATATAAGCACTAATTTGGTCATTATCATTACATTCAGTTGACTGGCTGAAATTAAAGGGATGGGTTACTAGGCATATTCTGACACATTCTCACCTTAACTGTGTTCCCACGGCAGGTAGCAGAATGCTTCAGCACACAGAGCACACGCAGCAGCAGTTGATGCATGGTGAATTATCAGGCACTTTAATTAATAGAACTTGAATTGAGTGAGAAAAACTTGACATGGAAACAAATTTGTTCCAACCTGTGCCATCAGAGGACTTAAACTGCATGCATTAGAAGTTAGGCAGCCAGTGCAAGCAAGACAAGAGTTTGTAGACTTTCCATTAAAGCCACCATGTGTCATTGTTTCTTCCAGAAATTTGACAACCACTCACATTCAGTTTCAGACAAATGATGGCCAAAGCAAATGCCTTGCTTGCTCCTTCCCATTATCTCTTTATTTCCCTGACCCCATACTTCCTCCTGAACCTGCTTTTTCTTTCCTGTTCTTAATGCACTCTGCCCTGTGCTTTGGGAGAAGTGGTATCGGTTTAGCCTGTTCTTTCTGAAGACTTACCACATCCGTTCCAGACACAGTGTGCTCCAGGTACCACAGCAGAGTGTATGCTGTGTAGTCATTGGGCAGCACAGGCATACCCCTCTATCGTTGAATTATTAGGCATCATAGCTAGTGAGTAAGGGAAGCATTTTTCCCTTTAACCTGTTATACTGAGCAGAAACACAAATAACAATGGGAAACATCCCTTGGTATGGTGGGGAAAGCGTGGTGGCCAAAAGGATTGCTAGCACATGAGCATGGGGATCGTTTGGGGTCAATCCGTAGAAAATGAAATTTTAAACATGGAAAAGCAAAGAACAAGTTGGTTAATTTTTCAATCTGCTTCTATAACAAGATGTTCTTATTTTGAACAAACAAATGAACAAAAAGTGAAAAAAATAGTTGAGTTAGACTGTGTTTATGGAAGTATCTACTCTGCTCTTGTGAGACCCCACCTGGAGTACTGTGTTCAGATGTGGGGCCCCCAACGTAAAAAAGACCTGGACCTGTTGGAGAGAGTCCAGAGGAGAGCCACGAAATTAATCAGAGGGCTGGAGCACCTCCCCTGTGAGGACAGGCTGAGAAAATTTGGCTTGTTCAGCCTGGAGAAAAGAAGGCTCCAAGGAGACTTAATAGCAGCCTTCCAGTACCTGAAGGGGGCTACAGGAGAGATGGGGAGGCACTCTTTATTAGGGAGTGTAGTGAGAGGACAAGGGGTAATGGGTATAAGCTGAAAGAGGGTAGATTTAGACTAGACATTAGGAAGAAGTTTTTCACTGTGAGGGTGGTGAGACACTGGAACAGGTTGCCCAGGGAAGTTGTGGATGCCCCATCCCTGGAGGTGTTCAAGGCCAGGCTGGATGAGGCTTTGAGCAACCTGGGCTGGTGGGAGGTGTCCCTGCCCATGGCAGGGGGGGTTGGAACTCGATGATTTTTAGGGTCCTTTCCAACCCAAACCATTCTATGATTCTGTAAGTTAAATAATATATTTCTAAGAAGCAATGCAAATTTAAAATACAGTAATCTACTACTATTTATCCTTTTCCAAGTTACTGTAGGAAATATTAGTTATTTCTTTCTCTCTGAGTTTAAAAGCACAAAACACACCTTGTGAAAGGCATCCTTTTTATATATCCTGAGGCTCTCTAAATTTAAACAACACTCTAAATCCATATTTTTTGTGGTAAAAGAGCTAATGGCCTTGGCTCTCTGATAGGATTGTTTCTAGCAAAATACCTAATGCTTTCTTCACCCATATTTATAACCTGTGAGCTTAGGTTCTTCTGGTGTCTTTAGCTGACTGGGAGTTCAGGATGTTGAAGTCAGTGATACAGATTTGTAAAATTAAAAGGTGCCCAAGTCCCTTTTCCGCCTTTGGAAAGAGCATCCCTGGGACACTCCTGAAATATCCCTTTGACTATTTTTAGTCATTGTCATTCAAATTTCAAAGACAATATTTATTGACTTGATGGAAGAATTTTAATTTCCTTTTTCAATGTAATTTAGTTTGTGACTTTGAAATTTGGATTGCAGTCACGCTAAAATTTGCACTTCAATGTAAAATACAGCAGTGAACACAGGTTTTTAAAGATTTACTTGACTTTTAAAATAAAATTAAGTACAAAGTCAGGAATGTAGTTTTGGGTCAAAAAGCAAAATGTTATTGTTTCCTCTTGCTTAGAATAAGCCATTGCCCAGTTTCCAAAGAAACTGCTCTATAGATGGAGACAGCAGATATTTGAAATTCTTTTTAGCAGTAGTAAATGCCATTCCTTTGAGTAAACTTACAGTGGTCACCATTTTGTAAGTACTTAGATATGAACATAACTTTAGATGCATGTAATTCCAGAGATTCCGGTACAGCTTCTTGCATAAAAGAAAATGGTACATTTAATTTGAAAGGTCATTTCATAACGGAAGAATTATCTGCATCACCATGTCATATGTAAATGTGAAAATGAATTATCAATTTTGGTTTTAAGTTAAAAGAAGTTTTGCATGAGTTTTCTATGACCAGTTCCTGTGTCTTAATAGCATTTTCATAAATCGTAATCTCTCTTTCATTTTATGGCAGTTGTAATTTTCAGTGTTAATTAACTGCCAGCTGCTTATAGCAAAGGTCTTTGGTCAGAATATCACTTAGTTCTTGACAAATAAACTAAACTGTAAGCTGGAACTGGAGCTAGGGAAAAAAAAAATCTTTTCTCTGTGGCAAAGTTCCGGCAACCGGTTATTTCTTAGATTATATGTCTGAAGAAATGTTCTATTTGTGCAATTGAGGGGATGCCACAAAACACTTGGCTATGATCTAAACAGCCAAATTCTTGTTTTAACTTTACAGAATTTGGTGACTTGGCTAGGTTACTCAACTATTACTGAAAAAAACGCTTATAATTGCCAATTAATATTTCTTCTTTTATTGTAATTCCCAAATATTTTGAACACATTCAGTTAACAGAAAAAATGAAAATTATATTTTAATATAATTGGCTTATGCATATTATGTTTCCTAGTTTGGAATTGCTTAGTCTCTTCTGTTTGTACCCCATGAAATACTCACTGCTTTCATTAAAGTACCAATATATCCACGATCCCAAAAGCAGAACACGTTGTGCCAAACCCTGTAGCTGTCTCTAGCCCAGTTTTTAAAAAACCCTTTCAACAGTGAAGACTCCCCAGCTTCCCTAAGTTACCTAACTAGTCTTTACTGTGAGAAGGCTTTTCCTGGTGCCTATGTTAAACCTCCCTTCCTGCAGTTTACACCCATGCTGACTTACCCTTTCCCCTGTGCACACAGCATTTTTGCTTTTCCCTGTAGGTGTTTAACATCCACTTCCTGTACCGCTTTTGTATTTGGCTGAAACATTTGCCAACTGTACAGCATTTTCTATCCTCAATTATCAGCATTAAATACTTTATATTTCTTCTCCATGTGTTCTGCTAATTCAGTCTTCCTCCGTAATTTATTGATGATGCTGATGTTTTTCCTGAAGGTGGGACCAGTTTCAGAAGACACACCATCTTGCAGTGTATAGATAGTACAGCTATTATTATATAATTTTTTTCTCCATTTATCCCAGGGTTAAGTAGCCTTTTCCCTGCAAAGTGTTGCTGAAGCGAGACTTTGTATCCATAGAGTGAGTTACAGGAATGCTTTGTTTCATTTTTTGTTCTGAGAATTGATAATGGAGCATTGAACATGAGTAATAAGTGCTCTTTCTTATCTGGTATGTGTCTGTGTTTAGATTAGTTTTCAGATACCAGTATGTAACACTGCAGCGTTTCCAGGCCTGATGGCTTTCGTGTTTAACTTATGGCAGCTCTTGTTTCCTTTGCAGTGATAGTCCGAGCTGCTGACTGCAAGAAGGTGTACCAGATAGAGCTTGCTCCCAAAGAGAAAATAATCATCCTCATCTGTGGTCGGAACCATCACGTTCACCTTTACCCCTGGGCTTCTCTGGATGGGTCGGAGGGAAACTTTGACATTAAGCTTGCAGAAACTAAAGGCTGCCAATTGATTACAACTGGAACACTAAAGAAGAGTTCTTCGACTTGTTTGTTTGTGGCTATCAAGCGACAGGTTTTTTGCTATGAAATTCACAGAACTAAACCTTTCCACAAAAAATTCAGTGAAATCCAGGCTCCAGGAACTGTACAGTGGATGACAGTGTTCAAGGACAAGCTCTGTGTTGGCTACCAGTCTGGGTTCTCTCTGTTGACCATCCAGGGAGATGGACAATCTATAAACCTGGTAAATCCTAATGACCCCTCACTTATCTTCCTCTCACAGCAGTCTTTTGATGCCCTTTGTGCTGTGGAGCTCCGTAATGAGGAATACCTGCTTTGCTTCAGCCATATGGGAGTATACGTCGATTCGCAAGGTCGAAGGTCACGCATGCAGGAACTAATGTGGCCTGCAACTCCTGTTGCCTGTAGTATGTATATGTTTTTCTGTTGCCATATCCCTGTTGCTGCTTTACTTGTCTAAAAATAATCAGCATTGTATTCTATTTTGCTTTGATTTGTCTTTCAATACTACAGTTTCAGTTTTGACGAGTTAACAGGATACACAGTTCTTCCTGATGGTAGTTTTGGATTTGGCAATCTCCTGGGCTGAGATCCTGGATGCTGCAAGAAAAGGAGCCCTGTCTTGTTACAGGACACAGAAGAACAAATAATATAATGCAAGTTGATTTTTACAGAGCGGAAGTAGTCCTGAATGCAGGACAGTGCAAGACTACTGGTCTGTGAAATTCTGTAAAGATTGTTGCTCCCCTGGAGACTGTAAATGTCTAGTTGTCTGTAGGATGTCTTCTGTGTCCTGTACTCAACGTACAATAGAAAGTTGAAGATGAACTGTAACTGCAACTGTAAGGGTTCATAAAGATAACAAAATAAGAGGTAAAAATATTGCTTTCAGCAGAACTGGTTGCAATTTTTCTCCTATTGGTTTTATTTTTAGGGAGAGAATTTCCAAAAATAATATAGGCAGGTGGAGGGTAATTTTTCAACCACTCTGCTCCTTTTAGGCACATTGGTTTATCAGCTAGTTAGGATAGAAGCACATGTGAAGCATTTTTCAGTATTCAGTAGTCAAAGGCAGTTCATTACAAAACCAGATTTCTATTGGGAGCTCAAATAACAAAGTGTTTTGAATGATTGAAAGCAAGAGATAGCTTTTTGTTTAAATAGTACACTGAGTAGTTAGGTGCTCGGTGGTTTGATCAGGACAGGCCCTAATAGCAGTTTGTTTAATTTTAATTGCCTTAAACTGAAATTGTTTGCTTGCTTTACTCTGACCTAGTTCTGTACAGAAGTGTGAAGCAAAGGCCCGGGAAACAATGTAGTTGCAAATTTACTTTAAAATGCCATCAGCCAAAGCTAGTGTTTCCTTTTCCTTTATCAGCTTTACAGTTTTTTGCATTTCAGCAAACTAGACATGCTAGTTAATTGTTTTATCTGTTATTATTAGAAACTATTCTTACTGTAAACTATTTTATAGCGTTCTTGTATGTGCAGTCCTGACTAGCGTTGGCCTAGGGCTGTTTTTGTAGAAAGAACAACTTCATCCGCTGTGGAAGGAAATGGATTACTTTCCTTGTTGTTAGCCTTGTCCTCCCTCCTCAGTCCTGGTATCTGACTGCCCTTTTTTAACTGTTCCATCAGGAGAGCATCAAAGTGGAAATCGTTCTACCCCTGTTGCAGTTTCTGCTCTGGTAAAGGACCATGTAGGATTTAGGATACAATGGAGAATTTGGCTCTAGGGCATTCAGTCCCCTCATGCTAGATCCCGAGGTGTGTGCTAACACAGTCGGCTCTGGGATCTCGGATGGCCTGTCCAGGCTCCAGTTAAACCAGCTTAATGCACTCGTTCTGTGCTCGGTCAGTGTCGGCGTTGTGGGGCTCCTCAGCTTGAGTACGGCGCAGTGCAGAGACTCGGAGACAGCAGGTCTTGAAGCTGTAGTGTGGGCAAGCCCAGTGCAGACACTGGTGTGTTTCTCTGGGAACCAGCTGAGATCTGGCCAAGCTCATCAGCTCTGACTGGTAATTGCTGGCCTTGGCTACCAGCTGCCCAGGCAGCAGCGGTTGGTGGTTTTGTCTGGTGCTCCATGGTCTCCTTTGATTTGGGTATCCAAGCCAACCATGACCCCATATAATAAATACTTGACCATAAATAATTTCTGGCATATGTATTTATGATAGCTGTCCAAGGCTTTCAGTGGATGAGATAAAAAAAATAGCACCACAACCTTACTTCAGTTCTTCTAAGAAGATTCTGTCATGTGTTTAGTGTCCTACTGGGCTATTTTCCTTTTCTTCATTGAAGCAGCTCTTTTCTCTATTAAATCCCATAAATTTCTAGTAACTGCTCTTTACATCAGGATGCAGTCCTTACATGAGCAGAAGCATGTTGATATGAAGCTCTAGGGATCTCTGCTTTTCATTTGACCTAAAATAAACTTGTCCGCTGATGCCTTTTATGCTTTTCAAAAAAAAAAAAAAAGTTAAAAAGATAAAATGAGTTGTGGGCTTTAAGCATTGTGACATTTTTTTGTTAACCTGATGAAAGCAACCCATATGTGAATATCTAAAGCTAGATAATTGTTAGCAAAATCGGAAGGAAATTGAGAACAGATCCGCGTCATGACTTCATGACCCACCTCACAGATGGTGGCCCTCTCTTTTCCCCTGCACGCAGCAGATGTATAGTTAGTTTGTTTCTTCCAAAATGAAGTAGTCTGCATCTGTAGAAAAGCTAGCTGCTCAGTTCCTACCAAGTAGCGAATTTGTATGTATCTGAAAACTTCAGATGCCATTTTGCAATTTCATGAAATCATAACTTGAAGTTTAAAAATACTGAAAGGGTCAAATTTAAATCTTTCCATGACACTGGCAGTTGTTGTTAGCAAATCTATTATCACACAAATATCTGTCTGAAAGTCAGTCTGGGAAGAAGTATTTTAAAATGCACATAGTGGAAAACTTGTAACTATTGAAATTTGCTCAAATTTCTGGACTGCTGAAACCACATTAGGGTTTTCTATTTGTTTTTAATCTATGCAGGTTGCAATTCTTCATATGTAACAGTGTATAGCGAGTATGGTGTTGATGTATTTGATGTTAATACTATGGAATGGGTCCAGACTATTGGCCTGCGAAGGGTAAGTAATTTTCTTTGAATATAGAACTTCGTTGGGTTAATTCACAGTGTATGCTAGGCTTGAGTTAATCCTCTGACTCCTTCCTCAAAACAGATCAGACCATTGAACATGGATGGCACACTGAATCTCCTTAACTGCGAGCCACCAAGACTAATATATTTCAAGAACAAGTTTTCAGGTGAGTACAAAGCAAGGAGAGAAATGGGAAAGTGATGCGAAGCTAACTGGGTAATTTTAAGCAAAGTTACCTTTGCATGAGATGAAAGTTGTATTGGATGCGTCTGGGTCAACATGTACCTATGTATGTGAAATTGCATTGTGATATTACAGCAGGAGCTGTCCTCAGTGTGCCAGAAACATCTGACAATAGCAAGAAGCAAATGCTTCGAACTAGGAGCAAAAGAAGATTTGTATTTAAGGTTCCCGAGGAAGAACGATTACAGCAAAGGCGGTAAGAATTTAATTGTGGTATGTAACTTAATATACACAATGACATACAGAGACTGGGAATGCTAATAGCAAAAATCACTCTGTTCTTTTAGGGAAATGCTTAGAGACCCTGAGCTAAGGTCAAAGATGATTTCTAACCCAACGAATTTCAACCACGTGGCTCATATGGGACCAGGAGATGGAATGCAGGTTCTCATGGACCTCCCACTGGTAAAATACATTTAAAAGGGAGGGATATAGATGTATATTTGTTCTTGCTCAGAAAAGCTGTGAAGATGAGTTGTATAGGATTCAAGTGTTGTTTCTGTACCAAATTCTTCCTCTAATCATTTTGAGAAGGGTGAACCTTCCTGACATGCAGTGCTTCTAAATCCTGTGCAAGGAAATACTGTTAGCTGACTTATGAATGAGACACTGAAAGAAATAGGTGTCATTGACAGGAGCTTGTTAGTAGTTCTGTAAATAATCAGTCTCTCCCCCTTCCTTTTTCTTGTTTTTCTTCTTAAAATAACAGAATGAATTTCCTTCCCCCTCATCCTCTCGACATTCTGCTCTGATATCACCTCCAACAGGGTTTGCACACGTTTGTCACACAAGCCCTGTCTCTGCTGAAATCTTTCTCCAGAGTGACCATTCCTCACTGCAAAGCTCCCCTCTGCTTTCTTCCTCTTCCTGTCCCTCCTCTGCTTCCCTAGCAAGGGTGGGAGTAGCTACAAACAGTTAGGAACCTGCACAGTGTGCTTGTGCCATTTTGCTGATTGTAGAGCAAATACAGGGAGGGGAAAAAACTAATTTTGCGGAGGTAACTAAAATGCGTATAAGTTGCAGTGCTTTATAGCGTTTTTTTATTATTATTTTGCATTTAAGAAATACAGCATTTTGTGAGCTATTTTAGTGTTAAATTCATGAGAGGAAGGCCCGAACTTTGATGTTCTATACCCTCCATTCTGTAGCTGCTAGCCAGGCTTTCTCTTGTCCTTCCCAGCTAGCCCAGATGAGGGTAATGCGTTTGTCCTTAGAGGAAGGAAAGCAGAGTTGTTGGTGCAGTCCCTGCCCCTTCAGAGAGGGTTTGCTGGCTGACAGGTTCCAGTGGCTGCTGTGGGGCTTAGTTTTTTCTCTGTCTTTCTCAGGGTTTGTCTCTGTTACTGAAAATATGTGGATGTGGTCAAGTAAGTCCAGAGTTTTTCTACCAACACTGGGTTGTAATAGCTTCAAAAGCACAGTAAAGTTTTCATGAGTAACAACTTCTAGTTAGATAGCTTTTGTTGCCGGCTAACAAGGTGTTTCGTTTCAACTGCAGAGTGTCCTACCTGCTGCACAGGATGAAAAACCATGTCCATCTACAGCTAACCTCTCACGGCAGCAGCAGCAGCAGAGAAACAAAACCTATATTTCATGGCCCTCATCAAGTAAGGCTGGAAGCATGCTTGTCAGTTCTGAGCTGTAATTTATGGCTTCAACAAGAGGTGTAAACCTGCCTTTTTTCCTTCTTTCTCTACAGGTGGCAGTGATGTGGGAGGACCCATGCCTTCCCGAAGTATGTCTGATCCTGACCAGGAGTTTGACAAAGAGGTAAAGGAGCTTTTATTAAATGGAGACTGATGATATCCTGTTGCCATAGATTGTTTTCTTTTTCCAGTAAATTAAATTCTGAGGAAATACTTCATAAAAAATATATTCTTTATGGAGATGTTTTCCTTCCACGAATGTTTTGTCCAGCCTGTAATATATGATTGCAAGTTGGATATGCCAGCACAAAAGCAAAGCTGTGAAAAAAAATTTTTATGGTTATATTTTAGGAAGTATTATGTCTTGGATTAAGGTTTTTAGATAAGAGAAATTTGACTAATTGCTGAAATGTCCTCAGAGCTCCTAAAAATGTTCTCTGGGCTATTAGCATAGAATAGCAGAGTAACATGACTAGTTAAGTACTTTTCTGTGCTGCCTTAAGGAAGGCTTTTTGTCACGTAACTTGAGAAGAAATCGTATTTTAAAATACTTAAAACTGCTTTTAGCAAGAGTAAAAGTATGTACCAGTAGTCACCAAACTGAAAATGTCCTGGCTGTACAAAACTGGTGTCCCTGAATCTAAGGAGAGAAGATGTATGATTTGTGTTTCCTTGATTTATCGTGGGTGTAGCTTCTGCCAAGCTTTGCTCAAGCACTGCCTGTGCAAGGAAAGTGTTAGGAACTATCACTGGGAGTCAAAATCCTAGATCAAGATCTTTGTGCCTTTTTAGGGTTTTTTAGTACCCAACTACAAGCCCATGTAATGTTCTGGATTTTGGAGGGTGTTTTCCTGAAGCCAGACTTTTGCAGGATGCCTTAGTACACCCCAAGTCAAGGCATTTGTCCAGAGTTCTGATCACAGCCATGTGCTGGCTTCCTTTGTCTCCTTGAGGAAGCCATTAAAAGCATGTGAAAATGGGGATCTTTAAACACAGGTATTTTTGAAACTGTCTTTATTTTTCAAAGGTGTTGATGACAGAGTGTGTCAGTTGACTTGGTTATTCTGCAGTACCCTTCCCAAATTCCATTACATTCCATGCTCTAATGATAACTGCTGTTTGTAGGCACAAGCAGTGGTGGATTCTAAGGTTTTTACAATATTTTCTTTTTTGGTAGATCTTACAATTTCTTACAACTTCTTAAATTAAAAAAAAATAGTTTGAAACTTGAAAAACGAGGCTGTAACACCACCTTTTGGCTTTTATACTATTTTTCCCATGGCTTTTGGCTTTATCGCAGCATGAACTGGATCGTGTTAGGATAATCTTGTTATAGGTGATCTTATTGTGGTTTGAGCCATGCAAAACCTGGTGAACGGCATTCTTGAAGGATGTTACCTTTCAGTCTATTTGCTAAATATATATTCCCTTTCTTGAAAATAACTTGCTGCAATGGTACCAGTTTTTCCTGTACAGTATTTCATGAGCTGTGAATGTGTGCAGTGCTCAGAGTTGTAACTCACCAAAATAGTGGGAAACTTGCCAGTCATCCTGCT